GGAGACTACTAAGTCCAAGTGAGAAATGATGAAATCTCATGGGGAAAGTTAAGAGTAAGAATAGAAGTGTTAAAGCAAAAAATAAGAAAATAAGCTCTAAATGACTCTAAGAGAAATAGAAAATCAAAAGTCTCAAGGTTGCTCTACTTACCTGTATTCTAGTATTTAATTTTTTGATCATAAACAACAATTCTAAGGACTACTAGTGAGGTTCAAAAACCTCAAACAAGTCTCTGATGGTGTTAGCTACAACAAGTTAAATGGATAAGCCCTCCTCTCTGCCTGGACACTCTCTCTCCTAGCAAGTATCAAACACAACTAATTCACACTCTATATTTCCATGTTTCCTAAATTACAAACTGCCCTATAAAGTTGCTCTATTTAGATGAATGGGTCCTTAATTTCAAGAGGTTGTTGACTATTCTCAGGAGAAGACTAGGACTAATATTCAACAAATATTTATGGACTCATTAAAGGACAAAGCTCCAAACACAAGACAAGGAAGACCATGCTTTCATGGCCCTTAAGGGTACAAGATAATCTTTCTTAATGTAATACCTGGGCTCTACTAGTCTTTACACAGCAAAGGGAAGATGGGGAGGGAGAAATATCACTTTTGAGACCACTAGTCTTCTAGCTTTAACAATTTCTTTCCTATCATTCCCCAGAATTAAAAAAAATTTTTTTTCTCACTACTTTTAAATTAATTCAACATGTCTAGCCCAGGCCTCCTAACACATTTCCTGTAAATACTTCAATTTACTTATATTCAAAATGAAATATTTAACCACATCTTTGCCAGTGTTACATCATACACTATTCCAATAATCTCAATCCCATGACGTACTGCTTTCCAGTTTTGTGAACCAAAATCTATCTTAATCTACTTATGAAATCAATGTTATTTCTTCCCCATTCTAACAAAAATTCCACCTCTGATTTCACATTTAGAAACAATAATGAAAAAAGCCACAAACTAGGAATTTTAATTTCTCAAGGAATTAAGAAAAACCAAACAAGATCCAGCCCTTCTATTTTTTAAGTTAACTAAAACAAAATAAGGCAAATAGTCAACAGTAAGAATTCTTCATTCTGTACTTAAAGGTTTTCCTTGCAGAATCGAATTAATTCAATATTTTATTTATACAGCAAACTTAAGTAACTGGCTCCTTTACTGTTCTTTAATTTTAGAAAATTAATTTAAACAACATAAAAGAGAAAGGATGCTAATTATTACAAAAGGAAAAAAATCCTTAATTCTTCAGAAAATCAGAAAACTGATGTAATTTCCATAACAGCTACTGCTAGCACACTTAAGTAATAAGTGGACATTAAAAGAAAAATACACTAAGACCACTTACAAATAGTGTTGATCTGTTTAGGAAATACTGCCTCAAAATTAATCATCAAAACAAACAGCTTATATAATTTAACTATCCATTCACTGAATACTACACATTTCAAGTGCTAATTAAAATCAGGAGATATTAAAAGGTAAACATTAAAGCACAACAGCATATGTAAAACTTCAATTGAAAAGATGTTGCTGAAATATGATTATCAATTATCAATGTATATTTTATAGAAAACGTTTATGCGGTAAATGACATCCTAGCTTTCAATCTTGACTTCAATTAAACATTCTAAATAAATAGCCACTTACAGATTTCTTCACTCAGCTTCACTAGTAAGTCAACATACCTCTAACCCTATAAATTCAAAGGTACCATAAAGATGCACTCAACTCTCCACTGGAATTTCTTTCCTACCTTGAAAAAAAAACCACCCTAAATTAATAATAACTTAACCAAAGATAAAATGTGATTTAAAAGATAAAATGGGATATGGTGAGGAATATGTCTGAACTATATTTGAATCCCAGTTAACACTGCTCCCTAGAGATATTATGTTCATAGGATAAATTGCTTAAACTGTGTTAGTTTTTGTTTCCTCTTTATAAAAAAGTTGAGACTGTACAGTTGTTATAAAAAAATTAGAAACTGTAATAAATCACATTTAGAATAGGGCCTGGCATTGACAGGCATTAACTAAATGGCAGCTACTTAAATAAGTATTATTAAATTAAGGCTTGTTGCTGTTAAATTCCTATTCCTCATTGTAGCAGCACTGGAGAAATGAAGAATCACTTGTAAAAGCTGAACTCAAATTAGCCATCAGCTTTCCTTCAAAAGCATTCAGTTCTTTAAGAATGGCAGATTAGAGAATCATGACATAACAGTGGATTCCGTAACAGTGAATTTCCAACTACTATTTATCAACTAGTCTATCAGCATGAGGCTTGAGTATTGTAAAAGAATTTTTTCTCAAATACATACATCCAAGTACTACGCCATGTTTATGGGATTCCTAACCAATGAGTAACACTGATAGACTAAAAATCTATATAAATCTTTCCAAGTATTTTCATATCAAAATTCTACCTATACCACAGGGTCAGGAAACTGCAAAGCTGTGACCTATAAGTTTAACATGATTAAATAAGGTTCATAAGGAAACATGAGTTCAGTGGAACACAGGAGGGAAATAAGTTATCACCATTTTTGACAGTAACTTACCATCCCATCATCTTCATTAAAAATGTTATGAAGTTAACATGAGGATAGCTGAACAGAAAATGCACATAAGAAAAAGAAAACATGTACAGGAAAAGACTGATAGAAACAAGAAAGCAACATGATTTCTAATACTATTAAGAAAGAATAAAAAAGAAAGAAGAATAAAAGAAGAGAAAGAACCCACAAACCTCCCCCAAATCAAATTTTCTTTCATTTTGATATACTAAAAAAACTGAAGAGTCCAGAATTACAACTGAAGAGACACTAACAAAGCTGTGCGATTATTGTAATTACTAGTTGTAGGGTACAACTTTAATTTTACATGTCCTATCTGAGAATACAGTTGAAACTGCAAAAAAAAAAAAAAAAAATCCAAATAAAGTGTATTTTAATGGACTGTACTGAACTTGAACACAATTTTAACTATGAATGAACAGATTATTCTTACTTTTTTCCCCTTAGTTACCAATAAAGTTGAGAGGCAAAAAGCGCAATAGGTCATCTCAAAATCTCTCAATCTTCCCATTAATTTACAAACAGTTCAATTTAAAAAACAATATGGGAATATTAACAACTAGACAACACTCCCTGATGACGTCTTCAGTCATTCACCTGCTTGTTAATGTGACTTTGTCTAGTTCTAAGATTAGGGGTCACAGTATGGCTTAACAAAATTTGTTAGGAGGAAAGTAAAGAAAAAGATTATTTCTAATTTAAATGACTAAAATAAACTTCTATTAAAGATACCAAAAAGTCAAAACTCTCCAAACACAGTCCTAGCTTCAAAAATAACTATTTACTCTTGAGGCTCTCTTTTCAGAGTTTTTTTTGCTACTCTTTCCCCTTGTTCCTGTGCATAATTTGACAGCAACAATGTATTAAGAATTTCCATAGGAGATACATTCAAAATTGAGTTTACAAACATGTATATTCTATGACAAAAATTATGCCATTCAGTGCAGTCTACATAAAGATATTGAATGTAAAGTATAACCATTCTATTACAAGTTTTCTGATTTTAGCTGCAAAAATCATAATTATAAACTTTTCAAGGTTTGCTCTGAAATTTACAAACCATGAAAAATTGAATATTTTTTAGACTTGAGACCTTGGCAATTTGAATCAACTGAATTATTTAAATGCTGCTTAGCAAAGTAAAAAAAAAAGGAATAAAAAAGACACACAAGACAATCACCAAATTACTCCTCTTTCAGAATCTATTTCAATGAACTTAATACTACTTCCTGCAATCCTAAGGATATTTTAAGGAGAAAATCTGGCATACATACAGGGAAACCAATTGTTTTAATAATACCTTAATTCAAAAACTAAAATAAAAATTGGTATGCCAATCTTATTTAAATTGTAAAGAAAGACAACCATCACCAAAGAATATACCCATTAATCCCTCTCCTTTCACAAAAATTACAGCAAACAATTGTAATGAGAAAAAATTATTTATAAATTGTAATCTACAAAATTTAACTCTATAAACAGCTAACTGGATCTGCTGTTCTGCTGCCACCAAATGTTTATTCTGAATGCTCAGTGTAACAAAACTAAGTAATACTTTGTTATGATTCCAGACTAAGAGGCATTACTCTATTTATATGGGTTGCAGACAAACACACACAAAAACACTCCAGCCCTAATAACTGAATTCTCAGTTATTGCATTCATGTTACGATACTATGTAAAACTTCAATAAAGGCTAGTAAACCTACCTGGTCAAGGTACTGGGTTGGCCAAAAAGTTCGTTCAGGTTTTTCTGTAAGCTATCCCAGAAAAACCTGAACGAACTTTTTGGCCAACCCAATACTAACATAATACATGAACAAATGCATTTCTTCAGAGAACACCACCAATTTTCTTTATAAATACTTAGAAAACCAGGCTCAGAAAACCAGGCATTTCTACAATAACAAAAACTCAATTATGGTCAAAATAAATATTTTATATCCTTTGAAATCATGAACTCTTTCAAAACTTACCAATATATAAAACTGGAAAATTTCATAACCTATATTAATTAGGCAAGAGATAAGCAAACTTCAAATAGTTAAATCCACCCTATCATACCACCAACAAAATACAACCCAATCTTTTGTAAACAATTTTACTTTAAAACGGACATTAAAATATTAAAAAGCTAACATTTTTTTTCAGAAAGGTGAATACTGAAAGATTATCAATGTAAAAAGCAGTATCAAAAGTTCAACTTAATTACCACACAAATATTTTTATTAGCAGAATTATGACATATAGAAAACTATAAATTTACTTATCAAAAAGAAGTGATTTTTCACTTCTATGAAAAAACAAGGCTATGAAAAAACAAGTTATGAAAGCCTATGAAAAAACAAGTTAATCTTTCTGAACCAAACTAGAAGCTATCAATATATTCTGTTTAACTAAAATGTTCACCTTAGTTGAATATGATGAGTAATGCCCATTTTATTCTTTGTGATGGAGACCAACTCAGAATGGCAGGTAGCAGCTGGGGGAACTATTCCATTAAGAATATACCTAAATTTAAAAAAAGAATATATCTGAATAGAAGAAAAAATTTTGATGAAAAATCCTGACTTGGTAAATTTCATATTTTTTCAGATTTTTAACATCAAGCAATGACTTATAATAGTGATTCTGGTATCTTTTATTGCATATTCATTCCTCTATTCTGTTATTGTTCAAAAAATACAATAAAATTAGCCACAATACTTGGGGGAACTTTTAATTTATTTTGTCTTAAAAAAAACATTAGGGACTTCCCTGGTGATCCACTGGTTAAGACTCCATGCTTCCAAGGCAGGGGGCACGGGTTCAATCCCTGATCAGGGAACTGAGATCCCACATGCCACACAGTGCGGCAAAAAAAGAAAAAAAAAAAGTCTTCCAGAATGTTAATTTCCCTGCCTCAATAAACATTTATAATTTTTAAAAATAATCAGCAATGATTAACAATCTCTGCATGATTATTTACTATTCAGAAGTACTAGGGGATAAGTTGAATCTGTAATAAAATCTGGAAATTTATTTTAGACTTACTATCATGAACATGTTTCCTCATAATCTGTATCTTCCGAAGGCAATTCTCTACAACCTCGAAATAAACTGGCTACTGTTCAAATACTACAGATTTACAGTACTATTATTTCTGAGTAAAGTTTTATAAGGACAAAGGGAAAGGGACACACAGTATATACCTACCTGTCACAAAATTAAATCCTTTACTATTTCAAAATGTCAATTTACATAATAAAATGCTGGGAAAAGCAAGCCCAAATACTAAGAAGTACTACTCTGAAACAAAAAAATATATGAAAATAGTGAATAATGGAAATGTGTGTATGTATTGATATAAATAAATATATATACATTGACACACAAACATGAGTTAGCATATTCCTACTACATCATATTTAGTTAGGATGAACAAATATATACAAACATACATATGTGTTACACAAAATAAAGCATGGTAATACCCATTTAAATGTAAACAGCACTGTTAGTACAAATAAATAGAAATCATATTCTTATCTCACTAAAGGTAATGCAATAAAGACCTTGCTGTGTACTAATATTTAGCTTTGAGTCTTACAACTTAATATCACTTAATAATTTAATATTAGTTAAAAAGTAATATAAAGATGTGAGAGAACATTTACAGCTGAAAAAACACCAAAGGTTTTAAAACAACATTGGAAGAAAGATTATGGGATTCACCACTTTGCTCTACACCTGTAACTAACACATCATTGTTAATCAACTAAACTCTGACATAAAATAAAAATTAAAGAAAAAAAAAGAAAGATTATGGGATTAGGAATGGGCTGGTTTAGGAGAAAGAAAACTTAAAGGACAAACTATTATCATGTAAAACATAAAAATTTTTAAAAGTAGTTGTAATTAGCTCCATTTTTTCCTAAAAATGGATAAATCAAAGTTAGGATGAACTGCAAGATCTCTGAAATGAATCCCATCTCAATTTAAAAATTTTAAGTGATAGAACACAATCCAACAAAAACTATCCAGTGAGATACACAGTTGTCTCTACAGAAAAACTAAAAACCTGGAGAAGTAAAATATCCTATGGGACACATCTTCCTACAACTAATGCTAAGCAACTGTCTAGAATATTTTTTATATTAGAATTACACTGTGTTAATTTAAATAGAGAAAAGTGATATACTATCAAAACAGCCTGAAGAGCTTTTGCAAACTATATAGTGATTGCCCTGTTTATGCATTCCAGAATCAGGGGTTTGGGGAGATAGGAGATGGCTTAAGAAGAAGGGTGATGAAAACGTATATTACGGAGAAAACACCCCAGGTGACTGATACACTTACTGTGTGGTATTTGATAGAGAATTTTGTTTTAAAGAAGGGATATGCTAGTTATAGCTTAGAAATACTTTTTCACACAGATGAATTTGCAGAAACATAATTTTACCTGTATAATGAATAGAGGAATCAACTAAGGTGCCTATAACTAGTATTTCTTATATATTTAAGATAGTCAAGGAAAAATACTAAAGTTTTATGAAAAGTTGAATTTCGGTATGAACTATAAAACTGTCTGACATTATCTACAAAAGATAAAATTAGTTTAAAATTCAATTATAGAAAAACATTCTGGTTCCTACCCACTCTACTCAGGTATCTTCATAATAAACAAAGGTATTACAACAAAAGATTATAAAAACATTTAAAATACAATTTTATATAATTTTTATTTACACTTTAGAATTTAAACAACTTGCTGGGAACATCTTTTGTGAGGCAAAGTAGTCTTTTTTTAAATTTGAAACTACTTAAACTTCAAGACAGGCTCTCTAATTTTTTTTTCAAGGGCACGCAACAAATGCGTTAGCTGAAAATAACCAACTTAATGATTATTTGTAACACAGACTTCATTATGTGAGCCTAGAGAGCCTCCCCACCTCTGTCTCCCCTGTGAAGGAGGTCTTTGTGTGCTTTTGTGTGGCGGTTCCACTGAATTCATTACAATAGAGATGGACATTTGATATTCATAACGATCCAACATCTGAGCAATCTTCTTTCGAGAAACACCATGTTTATTCCTCCTACCAAAAAAGAAAAGGATTTTAATTCTTTTTTCTTTTAGAATGTACAGGCTTAGAGATTAAACTGTTTTAGAGTAATAGAGTACAGATTTCAAATTACATTTTGCAAATAAATACCAGAAGATACACCTCACATTAAAAAAAAAGGCTCTCTCAGGTTTAAACAATATCTTAAAAAAGCTTAAAGATACCATAAATCACAGCAAAATGTTAACTAATTACACCTTCTTCACACAGAACTAACTACTGATTCACAGAACCACTGAGTTAATCTTCCCCTCTTTTTAAACAAGAGTAAAAAATTATGAGATACTGTTTTGAAAATTATAGAAGAATTGAGTGGGCTTCCAGGACTGACAAAAATAAATATAAAATATATATCACTTTTAAAAGTTATTTTAGCACACTTGCGTTATTAAAAAAAAATTATTATTGATACCAAACTATATTATTACAGATACAATTTGTACATATCTCACAAACGTAATGTTGAGTGAAAGAAACTACATATAATGAATATATACTGTAATTCTATTTATATAAAGTTTGAGAAAAAATTAAACCATGATGCTAAAGCAAAGGATATTTAAAAAAAAAAAAAGCTTTAAGGAAAAGCAAGTAAGTAATTACCAGGGAATTATGAAATTGTTACTGGGAAAAGGAACTCATAAAACTTCTAAAGTGGGTAATGCTCTCATGACACGGGTAATGGTTAAATGAATATCTGTTTTATAAGAAATTTGTTAAGCTACATATTTATATTTTATGTACTTTTCTGTGAGTTTAATTATGATAACAAAAAGTGGTTTAAAAATTATTCTTGACCCTCAAAGAAATTTTTACAATGTATTCTATACTTGTAGTTTTCCGTAACTTGACTTGGACATGGCAAAACACACAGAACATATTTTATATTTAATGTTATAGTTCTAGATTTACTAAAACTAACTCATTTTTCCAGAAAAAAGACATAAAAGAAATGTTTAGATTTCAAAACTACTGATGTTTAGGTTAAAGATGAGAAGAGAAAGCAAGAGAGAGAAAAAATAGAAGATTGAAAAATAAAAAAGAGAGAGAAAAAGAGAGATCTGAGGTCAAGGTTGAAATTGGCCAAGCTATAGAAACCCACAAGAAGTCAAAATTGATGATTCAACCAATTCTTTACCAAAAAAATCTGTCAAACTACACTAGATATCAGTTAAACTTACTTTATTTTGTAAAGTTAATTTATATTAAGAATTGTAATACATTTCAACAGTCTCAAATGTAAATAAAGCCTAACTGTATAACAATTTCAATAATTCATTTATTCAGCATAACCCAAATATCTTTAGTTTTTAAACTCTCTTCTACCTGAGGTGCAATATACACAGAGGCAGGCAAACAATACCAGATATTAATAATATTTATCAGTTTAACTCTTCATAAATTTGATTTGGCATGCAAGTCAGAAAGGGAAAGAAAGGTAACCAAAGGAATAAAAATTCAAAGGTACAAAACGAATGAAAGGCAAGGGGGAAGAATTAAATTAGTTGAACACCATACACAGAATAACAGTTTTAAGCTAGAAGAGGGCAAACTGAGGTGGGAAGAAAAAATGGTTTTACAAAGAGAGGCGATGGTCATACAACTCTGTGAATATACTGAAAACCACTGAATTGTACACTTTTAATGGGTAAATTGTAAGGTATGTGAACTACATCTTAAAGTTGTTTCCAAAAGGGGGTTGTGTCCGAGTGAAAATGAAGAAAGAAAAACGAGTCATAGTCAGGAAAACTAGGGGAAAGGGATGAAGGTAAAGACAAATGGAAGAGCAGGGTTGAATGTAATACAAGTCCACCATCTCTCACCACAAATCCTGAAATCTAAAATGCTCTGAAAATTCAGTTTTCTGTTGACTCATGTAGCAGCAAAGTCTAACCACACCTGTACTCATTTGGCAGCATGATCTACTCAGAATTAACATTAAACAATGTAGAATCCTTCCTTTCTACTTAGACTGACCATTCGTGATCTGCTGCAGAAATATTAAGATGTCTGATTATATATCATACTGCCCCAAACTCTGCTAGGAGTGTTACAATTAGGTATATGCACTATATACTTCCTTTCTAAAATTTAAAAAAAAAAAAAAAATCTGAATTCCAAAACACATTGATTCCCAGAATCTTGGGTATGGGATAATGGATCAGTAGCAGTAAAGATGGGAAAAGGGGAGAGATAAAAGCGCCAGGTGAAAGGGTGATGGGATCTAAAATGGGAAGGAGATGAAGTTGGAAAGGCAATGCAGAGAAGTGGCCTAGCTAAAAAGCAGAGGGAAAAGTCCTAACTTTTCTCTCAGTTTTCCGGATCTCCATTAGCATTCAACAAATTGGGAAACAATGTGGAAATTCACGTAAGAAAAATAACAAACACACTTAACAAGAAATATTTAATGAAATTTAACAGTGCAAAGATCCTCAAACACCTTGCATTTAAGTCAATGTTCCTCTTAACAGAAAGTGAGTAGTAGTAGTCCCTATTCACAGGTACCAAAGATATAACAAGCAAAAGCTAGTAAAGAAATTGACCATGTAAAGGAGAAAAAAAAGAAAAAAAAGATAAGGGATTACAAATTTTTTGAGTGCCTTACTTTTCTAATTCTTCAGGATCAAATTTCCACCAAGTTTCAGGTTCATGAAACTCTACTCTGTATCCTTTTCCTATGGCCTACACAAAAGAAAAGAAGAAAACAAAAACCCAGGGAATACGTCTTAAAGTAAAAAGATAGCAGACAGATATAAATTTCACTTAGACAATACTTCTAAATTTGCTCAACCAAGAAAAGTTTTACTTTTAAAATAATACAGTTTATAAATATTTTAAGACCACTTAATGGACAAATTCCAATTACTATCCTCAAGTCCAGGCAAAACTAACAAGATAAACATATTGCTTAATAAGCACCATTCCCAATTTTTAAAAAAACTAAGCAAATGAACACACCTCTTCAGAGAACAAGGACAACTGTTTTAGTAATAAAGATCAATGTAACCAAAATTTCAGAATATGAAAAAATTGATAATATAAAAACTCTCTCATATCTCATATTTACCATTTCCACATATGGTTTCATTTCCCAAGCTTGTGTATTAGTGTTGTCTATTATAACTGGAGATCTCCCCTGATTGATAGCTTGTTTTGCTGAAATAAAAAATAAATTTAAAAAACAAAAGCAAAAAACAGAACTATTAGATAAAAATACACAAAATAAAATTTAAACATTAAGATATTTCCTACATCCCTGTACTTAAAACCAAAACCGTGTAATCTTTTGAGTTAGAGCCATGAAAATAAAAGCACTCTGCTATATTAAATGGAATTAAGAGACATAAACACATGCAATGTATATTCTCCAGACCAGATGCTGGTTTTGACAAACTAGCTGTAAAGGACATTTTAGGGTAAATATTTTGTTGAACTTAACAGCTAATAAAGACTTCAGTCTAGAGCTTTCATTTACAGAAAATGTAGGAACAAGTTACATTTGAATATGGTCTGAGTATGAAAAGAGGAAAACATTTATTGACATGGGAAGATGGAGACTGTTAAAAGAAAATGGCAATTTATAAGATAACATGTAAGTCTGATCTTATTTTGGTCAAAATATAAAGATGTGGGAAGAGTTACTAAGACACCAAAAGTTGTCTTCTGTAGGTGTTGGGAATATATGCATTTTATGCTTATCTTTATTTTCCAATGTTCTATAATTACAAATAATGCTTTTGAAGTAAGACAGACTTAAGTTTAAAAAAAAAAAAAGTGCTATGGATTTGTCATTACTTATATACCAAGTACCTAAATACCACAGTTCAACTGACTGGATATTTCTTAGGACTATGATTCTGAAATTAGGAGTTGAGCTACAATGGAACTGTTCCAAACCATATCTCCCTCTCCCTATGCCATCTCTTCCCACATAAGGTGAGAATTAGTGCCACAGTGAGCCACTCATAATGACAGGAATGTGTGTACCTCTTAAGTGTAAACAGGCAAGATAATTAAGAACCCACTATAAAATTTAAAAGGCTGAGGCAAAATGCAATGATATGTAAGTTTTGCTGGGATTTAGAATTCAAACCACTAAGTTCTACACAATGAAAACACTTACATAGATGTCGAAGGGCAGACAAAATTCTAAACGTTAGTTAAGAAGTAATGACTATGGTGGAATATCTATTTCGGAGAAGATGTCTCTAAATACTACATTTAGAATCTAAGTCATAAATAGGATAACAAGATGCTATCAACTCCCACTGCTCCATCCCCAAACAATGATCAAAACTTTCATTTTTAAAAAAAGTATTAATTTTCCTAATCTCTGACAGGCTTACACCTCCAAGGAGTTATGTTCTACAAGAGGAGCTTATCTACAAGAGGAGCTTATTCACCAAATAAATCTCTGATTTGCAGGAATGGGGAGATTATTCTCTTTCCATGAATAATCAACACCCAATACCACATTCCAGGGCACTCCAGGAGAATAGAGCGCCTAAGTAAACAATGTTTGACTACTCAAATAAAGAGAGTCATTTTCTTAAACAAATTAAACACCATACTCTAAGAAAGAGAAAAATGACACCTTGGAGATATTTTTAACTTATAGGCAGTTAAAGATCAATTTAGATCCTTCTAATAAACATGAGGCAGATACATATTCCCTGAATAATGCCTGGCACTTAAAAGTATTCAATAAATATTTGTAGAAAAGAGAAATTTTGCCCTAAATTAAATGTAATGCTCATAATTTTCAAAATGTCTAATGACTGCTAGTTATTATTGCTTTGAAAAAGGTTAAAAATTACCTTGAAAAAGCCCCTTTTTATTATACTAATAAAACCAGTAGTTTATCTACACACCAATATGTTCAGCAAGTAGAATTCACATGGCACGAACATTTTAATGAAATATTCTAAACTAGTATTGCAAAAAGAAAAAAATGTTTCACAGAAACAAACTTCCCAGTTCACCAAAGGTATACTGGCTCATTCCACTTAATCACCTACTTCTACTCCCCTTAACTCTGGGCCAATAACTCCAAGCACTTTTTGGAACTGTAACATCATCATTATTGGATTTGGGCAGTAACGCTGCAGCATTTTAAAAATTCAAAAAGAAGTAATATTTTAAAATATTATGCTACTCTCTTTAAATTTATGCTACTCTCTATTTGGAGAAATCCTAGAACCAATAGTAGGAAATAATCTTATAATCAAACTTATCTGACATTTAAACTTTTTACTCAAAAGCATCCTCAATGAAATTCCTTACTCTGAAAATTGACAATTAAAAAAGAAAAGCATTTATTCTGTTTTTCCTGTATATACTGTACTTCAGGGTAACCTTAGTTGCTAGTTCTAGGCAAGAGGAAGTTCTTCATTACAGAAGAATTCTAGCTACTAAACACAGAAAGAATGAAAGTCCTAGAAAATCACCATTTTGCAAACTTTAATGAAATAACTGATTAAGGAAACAATTCATTGTTGAATAAATCAGGGATTAGGCTGTCCCTTTGAAGCTACTGATCTTACCATCACTAAAAATGGGACAACCATTTACTTACAAAAAAAAAAAAAGGTTGAACCTAATAAATCCTACAAGTTAAATGATTACCACAAGGAAGCAAACCGACAACCATAGGCTATGGGACACTCTACAGAACCACCAACCAAGTTTCTGCAATAAGTTAATGGTAGGAGAGCAAAAAGAGGGAAAACTGCTATAGATTAACTTAATTAAAAGAATCATAAAGCCAAATGTACTACAAAGACCTTGTTTAGATCCTGATTAAAACAACTGTAAAGAAATATTTAAGATAATAGGGGAAATCTGATTACAGACTATATTACATGATGTCAAGGAATTGGGTTTTGTTTTGTTTTTTAGGTGTGATAATGGCACTGCAATTAAGTAAGAAGATTTACTTGAAATGTGTGAAGTATGATGTCTAGAATTTGCTTTAAAAAAATACTTCAGCAAATTAAAAAAGGAGGGCGGAGTGAAAGCAAAAGGGTTGAAGCAAATATAGCAATATCTTGATAAGTGATAATAATTCTGAGTGATGGGTGTGTGGGCTTCAATATAATCTCTCTATTCTAGGTTTAAATAATGTTTCATCATCAATGCATTTTTAATTTCTTTTAAAAAAGAAATTATAGATTATAGCATAAGCATGTACTTACATAGTTCTAGATCAATAGTTTTCAATCCTGACTGCAACATTAGAATATATGGATAACTTTCAAAAAAATACCGATGTTTAGATCCACTCCAAATCAACTAAACCAGAATCTCTGAGGCTAAGACTCAGGCATAACTTTTTTTAAAAGGTCCCCAAGTGATTCAAATGTGCAGCCAAGGTTAAGAAAGAACTACTATTCCAAAATGAAAATAAAGTGACCCATATACCTCTAAAAAATGTATTAAGTAAATTTTTTGTAGAGTGACATCAATGAAAAAAACTTTTAATATTCACGGGCATTAATATTAAGCCTTAGAAAACATTAGCATTACTCAAGGAAATAACTTTTGGGAATACGTAACAAAAGTATCAAGAGTTTTCTGAATTTTTTCATGAGGTATAAAATAAAGTCTATCAAAATATCCTATACCTCTATTGTAACAGTTTATATACACTATTTACAGTTACAAAAATATTCTAACCACATTCTCTGATTTTCACAACCTCAATCAAGTAGGGCAAGTATAATTATCACTGCTTCTAATAGATGAAAAACTGGGTCTCAAAGCTCTTTCAATGGCTTGTCAAAGTCATCTAGCTGGTAAAAGTAAAAAGTTGAGAATAAAAATTCAGGTATTCTGACTCCTAGTCAAATATTCTATCCCGGGAGACTTGGCCCAAAACAAACCTCTGTTCTGGTTCCAGTCATGGGCATCACCAAGTTGATTAACATTATACCTGTACCCATCTTGATGGTTGAAATAGTCATCAGTGCTGAACACAATGCCATCACGACTCTGACCAAGCAGAATTCTGTTAATAAAAGAAATCATAAAGGTGCCATTTACAATATAAAATCTATAACCGTCAGAAATAAGCCACAAAGGAAAGGTTATTAAATGAATTTCTGGTACATACTTATAAGTATACTGCAGATAGACTAGCATAGGAGCTGAACCTTAAAAAAGCTTTCAGATTTCAAACATCACTTCACACTTAAATCTACATAGTAATAGCCAGTAATAAAAACTTTTTAAAGTGGCTTTTGTATTGCAACTTTTAAAAACACTCTTCAATCCCAAAATGATGTCAACTATTATCCATGATTTAACTTTAGTGAATTTGTATTTGGTGTCTAAAATTGTCTAAATTTAGTGCAACAGGTAACCTAAAAGACAAGTAAGCCTAAGCAAGCAATTTACCTGAGGAAAACTATATTTGACTGAAGACAGCTTTGATAAACTCATTCCTATGAAGCACAAACATCTATGACCTGAAAGTGGAACTTGAGGTTTAATGCTGTGAAACAACCTATGATCCTCCAGAGTAAAATCAAATTTAAAAATTTTAAGAGATTAAATTAATAAGTGAAATTAATTACTAAACGCTAAAGAATACACTCTCAGAACAAGTCAGTGGTAATCACGCTTTGTTCTCACAATATGATACCATCTTTAATTTCTAAGCACAGAGAGACTGACAAGTGTTCCCATAACCAGTGACTCATGAAAGAGACTGGAGGTGTGCTCAGAAAAGGGAAAAGACAGTAAGAATAATTTAGATCCAACAATAACAAAAATATTTTGTTATTTATCTCCCCTCCCTCAACCATTAGGCAATTGCATATCATTCTATTGGGGCTGGCCAAAAAGTTCGTTGGGGTTTTTCCATAAGATGTTGTAAGATGTTATGGAAAAAATCCAAACGAACTTTTTGGCCAGCCCAATATAATTTCTTTTTGAGAGGGGGAAGGGAGTAGAAGGTGGTAGAAGGGATGATACTGTCCTGGGATGATCCAAGAATACTTCCTAATAAAAGGTAATAGGAAGGATTTCAACTATTAAGATAACAAACATCTCTCCTTTCCTCAGGTAAATGGTTTAAATTATTTGTTTGCTTGTTTGGGAGGCTGGAGTTGGATTTCTTTTTTAAGCAGCCACAATTTTCCCAAAATATACCATCTAACACATTTGGCATCTTATTTGCTTATAAGAGATAACCCAGAATATAAAAATGCCATAATATTAGTATTCCAAACCAAAGCTCAATCACCTGAAAATATCTTGATTATCATCAACCATATGATACCTAGTTACACTCAACAATACCAGAAACCTGATACCATCTTTCCTGAATACCTTATGTTTCTTTTCTTTTTTCTCCTGTTCTATTACCTTTTTAGGTGATCTGTCAGATGTTAATAATAACATACTACAAGAGCACAGGAGCTTTATGTATCCAAGAAATGTTTAACCTTAACCTCTTCCAAATAAAAAAAAAAAGTGGGGAGGGAAGGGACAGTAAATCAATTTACATCATTAAACCAAGTCAACGTCAAACATGAGTAAATCTCAATGAAGAATATCTTAAATATATAAATCATAATTAAAGCAAGTAATTTTAGCTTGGAAAATTTTTTTCCTCCCAGACTGCTCACACATCTTTTCAAAATTCCCTGAATTATCTCCAAAATACCTGTATCAATCTAGATATATCTGATGTCATACCACCCATTTGAACCAAAAATAAATTATTTAAGAATATTAGTATTTTCAAAATTCTTATAGTCAGATTCTATCAGAACCCTCACAAGTTAAGACAGGTACTAAAATGGATTCTCAGAACATCAAAATTTACAACTTTGAAAAATCAAGTATCTAATAAAAAATTCAGATGTGGTCCCACTGGCCACTTGATTTGTATTTTTTCAAAATCGCTGTCTTTTTTGAGGACCTAGTATGTGCCAAGCATCTTATATATATACATCTATGACTGCATCGAATTCTCACAACAACCTTGCCAATATGGTATTAAACAAATCCAGAAAAGAAAATAATTTCAGAAATCAGGCCACCAGAATTACATAAATAGTGGTGGGAGAGCCAAAACCAATGGCTTACAAGATCCCTGCCTCCTGGAATTCACGCCCTTATATAATCCCCTCTCCTTGCGTGTGGGTTTGAGTCAGCAACTAGCTTCCAACTAACGGGATACGGAATTTCATTTCCAAGATTAGATTATAGGGGGGCAGGAAGTGGCTCACTTTCCCTCTTCACACTGTGAATGGGGAGAGGTCCAAGTAGCAAAGAACTGAAGGGACTCTCCAGCCTACAGACAGCAAGGAACTGAGGCCCTCAATCCAACAGCTCACAAGGAACTGAGTCTTGTCAACAAGACTTGCGAGAGGGCTTCCCTGGTGGCGCAGTGATTGAGAATCTGCCTGCCAATGCAGGGGACACGGGTTCGAGCCCTGGTCTGAGAGGGTCCCACATGCTGCAGAGCAACTAGGCCCGTGAGCCACAATTACTGAGCCTGCGCGTCTGGAGCCTGTGCTCCGCAACAAGAGAGGCTGCGAGACCGCGACAATGAGAGGCCCGCGCACGGCGATGAAGAGTGGCCCCCACGTGCCACAACTAGAGAAAGCCCTCGCACAGAAATGAAGACCCAACACAGCCAAAAATAAATTAATTAATTAATAAACTCCTACCCCCAACATCTAAAAAAAAAAAAAAAAAAACTTGTGAGAGATATTCCATGCAGATCCTCCCCAAGACAAGCTTTCAGTCCAAAACACAGCCCTAGCCAACATCTTGATCGTAGCATTGTTAGAGACTTGAACCAGAGGCACCCAGATTCCTGTCCTTCAGAAACTGTGAGACAATAAATGTCTGTTGCTTTAACAACTCAGTTTTAGGGTAATTTGTTACACAGCCATAGAAAACTAATGCACTCTGTGCTTAAAACTTTCACTTAAGTAAGAACAAGTGAATTGTATTCTTTAAACCTCATTTTGAGAACCCTATTCCCCCAAATGGTCTACTACAGTTAATTTTCATATTTTATTTTTTTTAATTTCTAAGAACCATATAAATTTTTGTAATATATCATGTACATTTAAAAATAGAAGTGATTGGCTTCCCTGGTGGTGCAGTGGTTAAGAATCTGCCTGCCAATGCAGGAGACACGGGTTCAAGCCCTGATCCGGGAATATCCCACATGCCACGGAGCAGCTAAGCCTGTGCACCACAACTACTGAGCCTGTGCTCTAGAGCCCGCAAGCCAGAACTACTGAGCCTGCGTGCCACAACTACTGAAGCCCGCGTGCCTAGAGCCCATGCTCTGCAACCAGAGAAGCCACGACAATGAGAAGCCCGCACACCGCAACGAAGAGTAGCCCCCACTCGCCGCCAACTAGAGAAAAGCCCACGTGCAACAAAGCCCCAAAGCAGCCAAAAACAAATAAATTAAAAAAAAAAAAAGAAGTGATTTTCCCAAATAATTCTGAGTAAAACTGACACTTCATGAACCCTTTACCTCCTGATGTACTGAGTGGCCTTGCATACCACCCTGGTCCAGCTATCAATAAATAAAAAAATAATGCTGTCTTGTGTAGCTTATGCTACATGCAAAGAGTGGTAAAGGCAAATCCTACATGAGTTCAGAAGGAGGATAACTGAGGGGTGAGATGAGAAACCAAAACATCAGAAGTGGAGGCATTTAAGAGAACCTCTGAATAAGTAGAATCCTGAGAACAATGAACGGACAAGTATTACGTCTCCTGCAATGGACGGCAGGGTACTAGTCCAAGCGCAGAAGGATATGAAGATAGGTAAGGACTAAATTAAGGAAGAAAGGGACTTAAATACTACCCCAAAAGAATTTGAAATTTATCTAACCCCCTATAACTCATTACCACATAGCAATACTAAACAATGTTATCTTTTAATGCCCCAAATCAGTTCAACTCTGATTCTCCCAATCTTTATTCCTTTTTTCAAAGCTCATTTGGAAAGCTAAATCCTACATGAAACCATTCCTCACTAGAGAATATGTGGCTTTATAACCAATCCCAAACAACCATTTCTACTTCATTCAAAAAAAGTACTGACCTAAAGAGAGACTCCTGCTTCTTTATTCTTTAACCAAGCTACTCAAAGTCAGGAGTCAGGTATACGGCTACACATGTGATAGATATTATAAACTGAAGGATTAGATAAGAAACACACTACCATTTACATCCCCAGTTTGATCTCTTAGCAGTTTTTGTAACTTCTCCCAAGTCCTTTAACCTGAACTCATTCTTTTTATTAGCCTGTATTCCTTCTAAAAAATGAAAAGACTATAATTCATCTCACAACACTGTTACATATGGAAGTACTCTCTAAGTTGTAAATGATAACATAAATGGTAGTTGCGACTATAACTTCCATTCTTATTAAACCTAATTCCTCAAATAAAGATACATATTATATATAATCACCTCTGTCATTTCGCACTACAATTATGTCTCCTTGAAATTTTACTGAATTACCACCACACTTCATTCACTTTTAGTTTCAACATACTCCAATATGTTGTTCCGAACCTAATCATTCTTTCTTACATTTATTCTGTACCAGAAGCCCTTGCTAGGAGATCTCTTCATCCGATTTCCAAATTTCAACTTTTCTTTTCTCTGATATTATATTCTAAATCTAGAAGAATGCCCATGCTTGTAAGACAACTTCACTCTTAATTTCTATTCTTTCTAAAGAAGCACTGAAATTTTATTTTCTCTACAAAATCTTCACTGCAAAGGAATCAAAATACATAGACTTAAATTCAAATTCATTTACAAAATCACAGCTTACAATCTAGCTTGAAATGTCTGCATCATAATTTAATCTTTCTCCGATTTCCTGCTTCTGAAGAAGTTTTGTTTAGGTGATTCAGAGTGTCTTACAAATAAATATAAAACATTTACAAAATGGTTCCTTGGACTTTGTTTTTTTTTTTCTTTGACTTTTTTATCCTCACCCAAAGACATCAAATAAATTTCCTTTTTCTCCTTATCTAGCATAAAGCTTGAATCATCCTACATAAACTACAATGAATTTGTATTGTTTTTCTTTGTGCTATTTTTCACAACTGCACAAATGTACTGGAATGCATCAATATTCTGTTTTTAAAATGTAAACAAAAACAGGAATTTTAAACATTTCGGCACATGATAAAACATCATCAGTTCTAATTCCATTAATTCAGATATTGCTCATTTCAAACTCCTTAAAGAAACCAAAAAAAGTTTCTTTGTCAATAATGGTATGAACACAGCACAGTTCTTAAAACACACTCAAAATTCCCTTCCTTGGGTTATCTCATTTGCTTCTCACAATAATTCCAGAAAAATAAGTATTACTCATTATTATTAACAGCAAAACCTGTCCAAGGTCACAAAGTGAAATAACTGAGTCAAAGCCCAAGTCTTCAACCTATGAATTCAACTCCTACTGAATAGCTGACTTAAAAGGGAAGGCCAGCACAGTTCTCAAATAGCATTTGCTTTCGTCACCGTCCTTTTACATGGTGAAACTATATTTAAAGCTCTTAGCAGAATCTTAACATAAATATATATGCCAATTCTCCTTTCCTCTATCAGAAAACATCTTTTAAAATATTTACCATCAGATGCCATTTTCAAGTATAACAAATTAAAGATTTTTTACTAGAAACATAAAAGCATTTGCCACTGATTACAACTATCATTCATGATTTTTAAGTAATAAATTACCAAGTATTCACTTGGTATCCTTTACTTACCGAGACAATGTTGTTTTCCCAGAACCAGGCAAACCTCTTAAAAGAATAAGTAACTTCTGCAATTTATTTAACTTTTCCTCTTGAAAATGCTGGTTCATAAACCTGTCAGTTCGATTATGCTTGTCCACAGAAGGAGCTTTCCAGCATCCTTCACTGGTTTCACAGAAACCATTATTCGCATATTCATCTTGCACAGTGTAGCCATTTCTAGAGGGATGGTCACTACTGGTAATGTCACTACAGTCAGTATATCCATTGTTCTGATCAAAAGTCAAACAATTCCAGTTAACATGACAACTATTTACATAATATCCATTTTGCATCTGAAAGCCATCTTGGGCATGGAAAATATTTGGTGATGGATTTGGTGGAACGTTGAATCTTTGAATATTTAAGTGATAGTTAAAACTGGAAAGATGAGGGTCTTGTGGTACTAAAAAAGAATGCACTGATTGCCACTCAGGCCTGAAGGAAGCAAATGAACTGTCACAAAAGGTAGGTATTACTTGTCGATTATAAGGATATTTACCTGGCTCATTCCCCACGCACTGCTGATAACCCCAATATGACTGAAGGGCACTGGTAAGATCTCTTCTCTTTTCTTCTTCAGATTTTAACAGATTATTATGGCCCTGATAATACGGAATGAGTTGTTCCTCAGAGGGTTCACGTTCCTTACAACTGCTTTCTGAATCACCTTTTTCATTTTCAAGCTCTTCAATTTCTTTGTAAAACTGGAATAATTCATTGTCAATCTCTGATTTTTTATAATTAAATTTCTGTTTCTCTTTTCGTTCTCCTTTCCCACCTATACCACTGATAGTGTCTGCTCGATTCCTCCTTTCATTACATTTCTTTTTCTCAGGGGGTTTGTAAATGGGTCCTATAAATGCTTTACTTGTGCTATATATCTCATCATCTGTGGATACCAATGGAGGACGTGTATCCTGTAAAACTTGTGAATCAACAGAATTAATAACATCTCGTCTATTACCAAGCATCTCATCATGCACAGGTTTCAGCAAACTTCTAGCTTTGGTTTTGTCCTCCTGAGGATAACTACGTCCTCTGACATCAGTGATGGTCACAGGGACCCAATCATTTCCAGTTTTCTTTTGCTTTCTGTGAAAATTAGCATTACCATGATGGGGGAAAACATATGCCTCTTCAGTAGACTTCAATTTCTTATAGCGTGGTTCACTTATTAGTTCTTCCCCATGTCCCATGGATTTAGCTTCAATTTCACCATAAGGCATCTGAGGAGCAAATAAATCACAGAATTAACAGCTAATATTAAAAAAAAACTAAACAAAAGTTTCCTCAGAAACAACAGGAAATAAACTTAATTTGATATAAGCATTTAATAACATTTTCCCAAAATGCAAAAACTATAAAATTGTAACTTTATAGCCACTTACTATTGGTATGACATTATGATTTAAAGGAAGGGTCTCATTGAAGGTAAACAAACATCCTTTTTTAAAAAAAGATGTATCTCATCTTTAAATCTAAATGATGTATTTCTGAATTTAGAGGATGTAAGCAAGAATTTAAGCAAGCTCGGAAAGCTGAATCAGTAATATATATTTTGATGATATAGACATACAGCTGTGTATTAAAAGGGAGAGTAAGGACTTCCCTGGTGGCGCAGTGGTTAAGAATCCACCTGCCAATGCAGGGGACACGGGTTCGAACCCTGGTCCGGGAAGATCCCACATGCCGCGGAGTAACGAAGCCCCTGCGCCATAAGCCCCTGCGCCACAACTACTGAAGCCCGTGCGCCTAGAGCCCGTGCTCCGCGAGCCCGTGCTCCGCAACAAGAGAAGCCACCGCAATGAGAAGCCCGCGCACCCGCGCACCGCAACGAAGAGTAGCCCCCACTCGCCACAACTAGAGAAAGCCCTAGCGCAGCAACAAAGACCCAACGCAGCCAAACATAAATTATTTATAATAAAAAATAAATTCAAAAAATAAAAGGGAGAGTAAGTCTGCCAACCAAAGTGACACATGTCCAAACTGGTTGTGATAAATTGCATCATAAACGTCTTCCTGTTTAAAATCACTAGGTCCTTAGCAAACCTCAGACAACCACATCTCATTAGCAATCAAATGTCAAATTAACTTCAATGTCAGTCTTTATGGGCCCTACTCTTACGAGTAGTGTAAAAGTGGTTTCCAAGTGGGTGTATTACGTTAATTTTAAAGAAAAAAATAATAACTTCAGTTGTACTGCGAATGACGGAAATATGTCATATTATGTTTAAAAACTAAATCTGGCAACTCCCCAAACCAAAGCCCTCATCTTTTCCAGATGGTTTGTCTATCTCGACGATAAATTCTGCTTCCCTTGAAATTTTTGGGGGGACCCTCAAGAGTACAATTCAAAAGCCTCTGTTAGTCAATACTTCATTCCGCCCGCTCTCTGGTCTCCCCTTCTCGAACACAAGAGCAAAAGGAAAGGGCAAAGCGACGAACCAGAACGACACAGGTAGGCCCTAGAGAGGCTGAAAGAAGATACACCTGTAGAGAACGCCGTCCTCCCGGAAACAGCCCCGTCCCAGGCCGCCTCTCACCTTCTCATTTCCTCATTAGAAACGGCAGAAAAGTCCCAAGGAAGAGAAAGGAGGTTGCATTAAGAGAGAAAGGCCTATACACGACCTGAACCCTAAGGCCTCCTGACCTCCAAAGAGGGTAGCCCGGGCAAAAGCGCGTCACCCAATTTCTCTATCTCAACGGAGACACGTTCAGGTTCTGTCTAGGAATTCCAAAGAGCTCCGAGGCCGAAAGGTTTACTCCCGGCTTCTACGTTTACGGCTAAACGAAAAGGTTCAGGCAAGCGCAGGGGAGAACCCAAGTCGCTAATGGAAGAAGGAAGAAACCGGAAAACGTCAACACCACAACCCCACCTCACCGAAAATGGGATGTCTACTCACCTTATAACACAGTTCTGCATTGACCTTTACCTCTCAATAAAGACGGTGAAAGAAGCACGGAGACACGGCCCAAAGCAGAGACCGGGAGGGACTGAAAGCCCGAGCCACAAGAGCGGAGCTACAAGTCTGCCCTCCGTACGCAAGATGGCGGCCACCTCCCGGTTGCCCCGGCAGGAATTACGGATTCTCGCCAGGCATTGTGGGAATTGAAGTCCGGCGTTCACACCCGGCCTGGAAACTTCAGCCTCTCCCAGAATCCATTGCTTGACACAAGCGCTAAGGAGCACGAACGTAGACCGGAACTAGTTCTTAGGTTGGCGCCGGGAGGTTGTTTAGAAATAGCAACTTCGGCTAAGAAAGGTGGCGACCTGCTCTTTAGGGCCACCCCTGAAGGAAGAGAGACTGTGAGTGCCTGGCTCCGCAAATAGAGACATAAGCTGCTCTCAGTGCATGTTTTAAAGTCTTTTTAAAGGGCAGTTAACATTTGGTCTCGTCAACTAGGGTTGCCGACGTTTCTATGAAATGCCAGTCAGTAATTGCAGGCTCAGGTTTTCCTATCGAAGAAGAGAATCGCTGCAGCAGAGCCTTGATAACAGAGAAGAGTACTTATGAGAAAAATCACTTCTTGACACAGCTGTCGTTTGTTTAAGGAAGTAAAGACCGTTTACTGAGCTTTCCCATTAAAAAAGTCGATTTGTGAAAAGCGCTTCTATAGAACAGCGATTGGTAAAAATAAGTGCTTTGTAAGTGTTTGTTAAATGACAAATAACTATAAACCGAACAACTGGCAATCTTCAGTTGAGGATCCCTTCCCTCTTCCCACCTCCTTCCCACTCTCTCTAGACCCGCTCCTTCACATGCGTTCTTTCCTGTCCCTGAAAGGGAAACTGCTAATCTTTTTATACGTATTTAAATAAACCCGTTGCGATAGCGTTTTAATTTATAAATATAATAGTTAAAACCACAGTCTGGAATATTTACATTTGATTACTTAACAGGCTTACGACCAAGAGGGCTCACCAAAAGCAATCCATCCCCTTACAGTGAAAGACTCGTCCTCAAATACAATTTCTCTCATCGACCTTTATTTGATCTTTCCTTGTGATTAGATTCAAATTATGCATCATCGGTGGAAACAACCACATAAGTGAAATTGTGTCCTTCCTCGGGATATTACATCCGGAGGCACAGGATGTCTGTCTGTCCATTATAAGGTGATATTGATTTTTATCACCGGATCAAGGTGTTGTCCAGTTTCTCTGCTGTTTGTTTTCCCCCTTGCAACTCATAAGCAATCTGTGAAAAGATACTTTGAGACCAAGCTGTCTTGTTCCCAATCAAACTCTAAGGTTTTGCCTCCATTGATGATCCTTACTGCAATTGATCTTTGCAATGATAGTTACAAAATGTTGATTTTTCCCCCCTAGCTCCTTCAAGCTCTCCCCATTTATTAGTCCTGATGCTACTATAAAGTAAAGCGCTCCTTACTTATTTACTATCAGTATGAATTTATGAATTCTTTTTTGTTCAAGGCGTTATAATCCATTGCTGTTCTCATTTATTTGTTTATTAATAGACTATTTTTAGGACAGTTTTAGGTTCAGAGAAAAATTGAGTAGATAGTACAGAGTTCCCATATATCCCCCTCACCCCACATACAGTTTCCCCTATTATTAACCTCTTACAGTATTATGGTATATTGTTACAATTAATGAACCAATATTGATGCAGTAATATTATGTACAGTCCATAGTTTTTTAGATTTCCTTACTTTTTACCTAATGTCCTTTCTGTTCCAGGATTCCATCCAGGATACAATATTATATGGAGTTGTCATTTCTCCTTAGGCTCCTCTTGGCTGTGATAGTTCCTCAGACTCTACTTGGTTTTGATGACTTTGGCAATTTTGAGGAAAACTGGTCAGGTACCATGTGGGATGCTCTTCTGTTGGAATTTATATATGCTTTTCTCATGATTAGACTGGGGTTATGGGTTTTTGAGGGGAAGACCACAGAGGTAAAGTGTCATTTTCATCACATTGTAACAAGTGTACATACTACCAACATAATTTATGATTGTTTATGTTGCATTTGATCATTAAAGTCGTGTTTATCAGGTTTTTCCACTGTAAAGTTACTCTTCCCCCCCCCCCCCGCCGTCCCCCTTCCATTCTGTACTCCTTGGAAGGAAGTCGCTGTGCCCAGCACACATTTCTGTAGTGCTCTCCCTTCATTAGGGTATTTACATAATTCTTTTGGAATTCTTCTGCATGGGAGATTTGCCTCTTCTCTCCCACCCTTATTTATTTTGATGCTCAAATTATCTGAGATTTGGCTAGCTTCAGGTTGGCTCCTTTTGACCTACACATTGAACACTTCCTTATCTTGTGGCACAACAAGATTTTCCAGGCTTGTCCTGTACATTCATTACTCCTACCCTAGAATCAACAATTTCTCCAAAAGTCTTGGTATCTTTTGTTTTTTTCTTGGAGAATGGTATTTAGAAGCTAAGACCTTGGCACTAAGAGTGCTTATTGATAGTGGGGTATTATTGCTTTCAGGTCATCTCAGTAGACAGAGGTGAGGGAGAGGGGAATAGATTTTTTTTTTTCATTTAAGAAATCATGAATGTTGATACTTACAATTCCAATCGAATTCCACAGTGTTCTTTGTTGCCTTCCCCATTTCATATTTGTGTCTGCCTTCTTCAGCAGTGAGAACCTTGTTTCCTCACAGCACGTTTACTTATTTGCCTAATCCTGCATAAAATAGTTTCAGAATTGCTACATTCACATAATTACCCATAAAACAGTTTCAGAATTTATACATTCACATAATTACATAAGCAAGTCTACTAAAAAGGTAGTTTTTCTTCCCCAGACTGAGGGTTGAAAATCGAAGTACTAGGTGCAAAAATGACTTGGATTACTTCTCTCGCCCTACCCTATCCCTCTTCAGTGGTTTTAAGTTAGTCATTTGAAATACACTTGAGTTCATTTGTTTCTATTTCCAGTTTTAGTTTATTTTTCCTTCCATTATTGATAATTCCATTTTACTTTTGGAATATGTAGAATAATATGCTTGCCAAAGTATAAACCGTACAAAAAAATATATTCAGAGGAATATCACTCTCCTCCCTCTCTTTTTTTTAAATTGATTTATTTTTTATTTATTTATGTTTGGCTGCAGTAGGTCTTCGTTGCAGCGCAGACTTTCTCTAGTTGCGGCGAGCGGGTGCTGCTGTTTGTTGCGGAGCACAGACTCTAGGCGGGCGGGCTCAGTAGTCGTGGCACGCAGGCTCTAGAGCGCAGGCCCAGTAGCTGTGGCCCACAGGCTTAGTTGCTCCGCGGCATGTGGGATCTTCCCAGACCAGAGATCAAACCCGTGTCCCCTGCATTAGAAGGTGGATTCTCAAACACTGCACCACCAGGGAAGTCCCTCTTCCCTATCTCTTGAACACTTTTTCCTGCCACCTTTTTTTATGTATACAATTTTATTGTTTCTGATGTATCCTTCCTATGTTTCTTTTTGCAAAAATAAGTAGATATATATGTTTTCTTACTCCTCTTTTCTTCCTCCAAAGTGAACATACCACATATGCTGTTTTGCATTTTGGTTTTTTCAGTTAACAATATCTTCTGGAGATCACTTTGCATCAGCTTATTGAGATCTTCTTCATTCTTTTCTTACAGCTGAATAGTACTCCATGGTGTGGATGTACCATAGTTTATTCACTTAAAATCTGATGCTTGGATGTTTAGGTAGCGACCAATATTATGCAATCATAAATAATGCTACAATAAATAACCTTCTGTTTTTATATCTTAGGAGGTCTATCTTTAAAGATAGGATTGCTAGGTCAAAGGGTAAATCCATATGTACTACATATTGTCAAATTGTCTTCCACAGAGGTTGTATCATTTTGCACTCCCACCAGCAATATATGATAGTGTCAGTTTACCTGAACTGTTGCCAATGTAATGAATGAGAAATGGTATGTCAGTGTAGTTTTAATGTATACTTCTCTTAATTTGAGTGGGGACAATTTTTGTATCTTTTTTGTGGATTGTCTGTCATTGGCCCATGTTCTATTGGAATTTTTAAATCTTTTTTTTTACTCAATTAAAAAATGTCTTTATATATTAGGGATATTAGCCCTATATCTGGCATATTTCTTGCAATATTTTCTCCTGATTTATGTCTTTTTTTTTTTACTGTGCTTGGGGTTTTTTTTCCATGTAAAAGTTTTTTATTTTTATGGGGGTAAAACTCATCATTCCTTTATTGCACATGGACTTTAAGTCATAGCCACAAAGCATAACACAGGGTAAAGAGGAATTCATTCAAACTTTCTGCTAGATCTCTGATCAATTTGGAGTTTATACATATATATGGTATAAGAAATTAATTTCCATTTTTTTCTCCAACATGATTTATTAAACAGTCCATCTTTGCTCCAGTGGTTTGCAATATCACTTTTATAGTATTTTAAATGTACACGAGCCTAGGTTTTCTATTTTATTCAATTGGTCTTTCTGTCTATTCACATACCAGTACTACACTATTTAAATTGTATCTTGCTATGCTTATCCACCCCCTCTCCTATAAATAGCTCTTTTTAGTAATATCCTAGATATTCTTAAGTGTCTGTTTTTTCATGTAAACTTTAGTATCAACTTACCTAGCTCTAAAAAAAACTTTTGGGTATTTTTAAAACTGGGATTGCACTATATTCATAAATTAACTTAAAGGAGAACTGATATATAGGTAATGTTGACACATCATAACTGAGAAAGGATATCTTTCAATTTGTTCAAATCAAGTTTTGTGTCAGGAATATTTTATAGTTTCCTTCACATAGGTTTTGAACATTTATTGTTAAATTTATTTCTAAGTATTTTTATCTTTTTTATTACAATTATCAATGAGATTTTTCTCTTTCATGAGCTCTTCTCACTGGTTACTATTTGTATAAGTTAAGGCTGTTGTTTTGCATATTAATTTAGTATCCTGCTATCTTACTGAATTATTTTGTTATTTTAGTTTTAGCATTGATTGTCTAGAATTTAACAAGTGTACTATCATGTCATTTGCAAAGAGAGGTCATTTTTCTCTTTTTCTTTTTCAACTCTTATACCTTTAATTGATTTCTCTTGCCTAACTGCACTGACTAATACTTTCAGCACAATATAGTTATGCAGATAGTGATAATCCTTGTCTTGTTCCTGACTTTAGTGGAAATGTCTTAGTGTTTCTCCATTAAATAAGATTCTGGCTTTAGAATATATATATATATATATATATACACACATACACACACATATGTCCTAATATATATATGCCTTAGATTAATATATATTCTCATATGTATTTTCTAATATATATATAGTCTAATATATATCCATATATTCATATTAGATAAATATATATATATTCATATTAGATGTTAGTATATATACACACATAGGCATACACTGGAGATATTATGGATGTGGTTCTAGACCACTGCAGTAAAGTGAATATCACAATAAAGCAAGTCACACAAATTTTTTAGTTTCCCACTGCATATAAAAGTTCTGTTTAGGGTTTCCCTGGTGGCGCAGTGGTTAAGAATCCACCTGCCAATGCAGGGGACACGGGTTTAAGCCCTGGTCCAGGAAGATCCCACATGCTGTGGAGCAACTAAGCCTGTGCACCACAACTACTGAAGCCCATGTGCCTAGAGCCCACGCTCCGCAACAAAGAGAAGCCCCTGCAATAAGAAGCCCCTGCACCGCAGCGAAGAGTAGCCCATGCTCGCCACAACTACAGAATGCCTGCACACACAACGAAGACCCAACACAGACAAAAATTAATTAATTAATTAATTAAAAGAAAAAAAAAGAATCTGCCTGCCAATGCAGGGGACACGGGTTTGAGCCCTGGTCTGGGAAGATCCCACGTGCCACGGAGCAACTAAGCCTGTGCGCCACAACTACTGAGTCTGTGCTCTAGAGCCCGCGAGCCACAGCTACTGCGCCTGCATGCCACAACTACTGAAGCCCGAATGCATAGAATCCATGCTCCAAAACAAGAGAAGCCACCACAATGAGAAGCCCGCACACCGCAACGAAGAGTATCCCCCGCTCGCCGCAACTAGAGAAAGCCTGCGCGCGGCAACGAAGACCCAGTACAGCCAAAAATAAATAAATAAAAATAAATAAATTTATTTTTAAGAAGTTATGTTTATACTATAATGCCATCTATTGTGCACAACAGCATATGTTTAAAAACTAATGTACATACCTTATTTTAAAAAATGCTTTATTGCTAAAAAATGCTAACCATCATGTGAGCCTTTAGTGAGTAGTAATCTTTTTACCAGTGGAGTGGATTCTTGTCTCACTGTTGATGGCTGCTGACTGATCAGGTTTATAGTTGCTGAAGGTTGGAGCTGCTGTGGCAATTTCTTAAAGTAAGACAACAATGAAGTTTGCCACAGGGATTGGCCCTTCCTTTCACCAACAATTTTTCTGTAATCATTTGATAGCATTTTACCCATAGTAGAACTTTTTACAAAATTTTTACAATCCTCGCAAACCCTACCACAGCTTTATCAACTAAATTTATGTGAAGATTCAACAATCTTCACGTCTTCACCAGGAGTAGATTCCATCTCAAGAAATCACTTTCTTTGCTCATCCATAAGAAGCAAGTCCTCATCATTTCAAGTTTTATCAAGAGATTGTAGCAATTCAGTCACATCTTCAGGCTCCATTTCTAGTTTTAGTTCCCTTGCTATTTCCACCACATCTGCAGTTCCTTCCTCCACTGAAGTCTTGAAATCATCCATGAGGGGATGGAATCATCTTCCTCCAAACACCTGTTAATGTTATTATTTTGACCTCTTCCAGTGAATCGTGAATGTTATGATACATAGAATGATGAATCTTTTCCAGAAGGTTTTCCATTTACTTTACTCGGATCCATCAGAGTAATCACTGTCTACAGCAGCTGTAGCCTTACAAAATGAATTTTTTAAATAATAAGACTTGAAAGTCAAAATCACTCCTTCATTCACGGGATGCAGAATGGATGTTGTGTTAGCAGGCAAAAACAATCTCGTGTACATCTCCATCAG